TTGTTGTGTTTGAGAGTTGTGTGGGGGGGGGGGGGGGGGGGGTCAGAAAGTCTAATCAAATTCTAATAATTGCAATACAAAAAACTACATTAGACATCAAAAATAAATAAACAAGATTAATAAGTTCACCAGACTCTAAAAAGTAAATAAAAAATAGTATATATTTTTAAAATTGTAAATCTAAATATATTTAAAATCCTTCAAATCCTCTTCCCCCTCCTAGTTTCTATCAAATCTAATAAATATTTTTTCAAAAAAATTATAGAGCAAAATTGCTCACACTCAATTTTAGTGAACTTAATTAAAAGACCCAAATTATTCAAAAATATATTGAAGGAACTATTTTTAACTTATTCCTAAACATAATAAGACACCATTGTGTTATTTTTAAACACTACTTGAATAAATTGTTGAAGTAAATTACTACCTATTATAATCCTATACATGTAACGTTTAATTTATATACACTAACAATATATTTAATTTCTCAGAGGCGTCACATGTGCCATGCCATGTTACTAGAAACGGTTGCAGCCGTGCCAGGTATGGTAGGTGGTATGCTCCTCCACTGTAAATCTCTCCGTCGATTCGAGCACAGTGGAGGTTGGATCAAAGCCCTACTTGAAGAAGCAGAGAACGAACGCATGCATCTCATGACCTTTATCGAGTTATCGAATCCAAAATGGTACGAACGTGCATTAGTCTTTGCAGTTCAAGGTGTATTTGTCAATGCCTATTTCCTCGCCTATTTAGCGTCCCCAAAATTGGCTCATCGAATTGTTGGTTACTTAGAAGAAGAAGCAGTAAATTCGTATACAGAGTTTTTGATTGATATAGAAAAGGGGCTTTTTGAGAACTCGCCCGCCCCGGCTATTGCTATTGATTATTGGCGTTTGCCGGCTGATGCAACGCTAAAAGATGTTGTTACTGTTATTAGGGCTGATGAGGCACATCATCGAGACCTAAATCACTTTGCTTCGGTGAGATTTTCTTACTTTTAATTTTGTATGTTCGAAAGTATACTTAAATGAGTTATTTTGAAATATTTATATTTTTTAATAATTTAATTTTTTTTTTTGTTTCACAGGATATACAGTGCCAAGGGCATGAGTTGAAGGACTACCCTGCTCCAATTGGATATCATTAAAGTGAAACAATATCTCAAAAAAAATTGTCTATCCATATATAACTAATAGCTGCTGTTGATTTTTTCAATTAATTTGATGTATATGTTTGTATTAATCTTTGAGATGTTTTTAGCCTTTGTACAAATATCACTATTTATTGAGATTAAGGCACTATATATAGTATGTAATTAATTATGTGAGGAGTTTAAATTGTATTAATATAATTACTTTAAAATTGCACAATATAATAGTAACGAAGAATATAACGATCTCATGAATTGCTCCAAAATATTGAAATATAGATCGGACTATATTGAATCTTATGTGTCCGTCTCTACTTTATATTTCTATAAAAGATTAGTTTTGTATACCAAAATCATACCCAAAAAAGAAACATGATTCAATTTCATACCGATCTTATTATACAAAATTACAATATATAAATGAATTTATACAAAATTGAATAATTTGTATAAAATTGGATGTATCTAGCGAATTATACAAATCAAAAGCTTTATAGCAAACATAAAATTTACTATGGAGTGCAATTATGCAAACTATAGCTATAATATACAAATATGATTTTTATGTTTGTTATATGTGAAAATTGTTCTTATTATTAGTAGCATATAGAGAATATAAGTATTAGGTTCATAGAAAATCAACATTCCCACTCAAAGCATAAAGGTATATGTGCAAACTATTAAAATTTTAAATATTAAACCTAGATAATTTCAAATCTGTGACAATGAAAACCTAGAAATCTACCTTATTAAATCAAGACCTGACTCTGAATCTTAATGCTAATTTTATTCTTTACGTATATTTACATATTTAGCAAATGTCATTAAAAAGATGGGCGTACACATTCTTACTACTACTTTATAATGTAGATAGGTTGTTTTGATAGATCATTAGCTCAAATAAAGCATATCAAACCATTATGAAAAGAAATATAATAGAAAATGTCAATTACAACAGCAAATAATATAATAAGAGAAAAGAAGGAAGCAATATATAATAATAAAATCGAAGTTTAAATAAGTAAGAAAATAAAGAAATAATAGTAATATTGAAAAGGAAAACTAGGCAACACACAACTTTTACTAATCTTTCCTCCAAATCACCTCCATATCCTCATTAATGTTTTAGGAGTATTTTTTACCTAATTAAAAGAAAAATAATTTAAAAAACTCTTGGTGACTGGTGCAATGACGTGTCAAAATTATAGCCGTTTGTGGCTGATTGCCTGTACTCTGTCTTATTATTGGCAACTAACGAATAATAAGGTTAAACCAAATATAGTGATATTTAAAAAACCTAATTAATTAGGCTTAATTAAGAAAAAATAATTAATTAAGAATAGTGCTTACAATAATGGCAAATGCACGATTCAATGACTTTTGACCAACTCAGCTTACTCCCCACGAAACCTCCTTTTTACTTGTTCCCCAAGACCCACCTTCTTCCAAAAAGAAAAAGAGAAATAAAACACGAAATTGTATACTTTTGCCATTCATTTCCAGAAATACCCTTGGAATTTATATTTCTCAATTTGAATTGACCACTACTTTATTTGATTATAATTGACTTTTTAATGTTTTTTAAGAAATAATAATAGTAATTCATATATATGTTATATCTATTACTAAGCTAGAAGTTGACTATAGAGTTTCAAATACTTTTGTCAAGTTATTTTTACGTGAAGTTTCATCATGTGTTATCATAGTTTTTGAGACAAATATTCAACTTTTTAAGAAAATATGATTTATATTCCTAGATTCTAAAACTATTAAAAATATCCACAATTTTGTATTATCATTTTATAGTGAACATGTTTAGTGAAAACGCATGACAACGAATACAATTAATATGAATCTGGAAAAAAAAAAGAGGAAAAAAAATGAAAATATCATTGATTTCTATATGAAAAACTAGAGTCAATATCTCAAAAGGTCACTCAACTTTAAGAATTTATCTTGTAAAGTCATTAAACTTTGTTTAATATCAACAAAATCACTCAACTTAGACATTTATATCAATAAAATCACTCAACTCAATTTATTATTAAAAAATTAACATAGATAAACAAATTATTTTTATGCCATGTAAATATGAACTCCATAAATAAATAAAATTTTAAAAAAATCATCAACATTTTTTTTATGAATAAACTTAAAAATTATATTAGGATATTACTATTTAATTATAATGTATTATGATGGGCTTTTTCCAAAAAAAAGGAGAGAGAGAAAAAAAACCCGTAAAAAAATGTCATGACAAATAATTGTGGGATACATGATTTTTTATCGTATAAAAAGAATGATATAGACGTTGGCTTAATAACTGCAACTCTGCAAATATTAATCTATTGCGGTCATTGAATTATAAAAAAAATTGTCGTCTTATAAATTTTTTTGTTGCAATCATTAAGCCTATGATAATATCAATAATATTTATTGGTAGGGTAACGTTCATCCTGATACCATTTAAATTTTAAGTGCATAATAATATATAATATTTATTTCACTAATTAAATTTATTCTTAAATATTTACATTCTTATTTTGCTATGCCAATTTTTTTTAATAATAAAATTAGTTGAGTGATTTGATGGATACAAACGCCTAAATTGAATGATTTTATTTATATAAAACATAGTTCAATGACTTGACTAAATAAATTATTAAAGTTGAATGATTTTATGGATACAAAGACATAAGTTGAATGACTTTATTGATATAAAACAAAATTCAGTGATTTTACTAGATAAATTCTTAAAGTTGGGTGATCTTTTGAATTATTAATTCTGAAAAACTATTATTTACTTGTGATTGAAAATGACTTCGAAGAGCAAGCTTGGATAAAAATTATATAAAATATGATGTATATATATAATTATATAAATTTTGTACAATAAACTATGATTAAAATTCAATCCAAAATCATAAATGATGAATATTTTGTAAAATATAAAAATTTGGTGTAACTTTCAAATTTTAAAAGTTTCCGAATAATAGAAGTCGACACAAATAGTATTTTTCTGGTATTCTGATGTATGATATGAATTTCTATTTTCTAGTTATATTTTCAACATACTTGATTTTCAAGTCAAAATAATGGTACTAGCCCGGGTCATTTTAGTCATTTCCTTTTTGTCTAGAATTTACTTAACCTCACGTCTTTAAAATATATTTAAAATGCAAAAAAAAATCAACAACCATAAAAATTAATTAAATATACATAACCGCCTGTCCCACACAGTCTTCACGCGAAGCTTGAACGAACCAACCATATAATAAAATTTATTAAAAAAATAGATAAATCTCAGCCTATATAAAATGAGTGTATATTGTTAACTAAATTATTACTATCACATAAAAAATATATATATTATTTGCCTTCTTCCTCAAGTTTCTTTCCAAACTTCCGGCGAACATTTTTTTTGATTCCAGATTTTGATCGGAAGTTATCAAACATGATGACCCGTGGAGCAACAAGGATGACCCGAGTTGTCATGGGTCATATGGGTCCACGTTACTTTTCAACTACAGTTCTGCGAAATGATCCCGGGACCGGAGTTGTTGGTGGAGCCGCTGCCGGACTTTTGCATGGTTTTCCGTCGAATCCATCGGAGAAAGTGGCAGTAACGTGGGTTAGGCATTTTTCGGCGATGGGTTCACGGAGCGCTAGTACTGCGGCTTTGAATGAAAAGCAGCAAGAGAAGGAAAGTAGTGACAAAAAAGTGGAAAACACGGCCACCGCCGCTGCAAACGGTGGTGCTGGTAAATCTGTTGTGAGTTATTGGGGTGTTCCTCCTTCAAAGGCTACTAAACCAGATGGTACTGAATGGAAATGGAATTGTTTTAGGGTAAGTTTAATTAGCTTTTCACATATTTTTCTGATATATATTATGTAGGATTAATGGTGGATTTTTGTGATTTAGCCATGGGAGACTTATGAAGCTGATATGTCGATAGATCTGACGAAACACCATGCGCCTGTAACGTTTTTAGACAAATTTGCTTATTGGACTGTTAAGGTCCTTCGATTCCCCACTGATGTATTTTTTCAGGTACGTAATAAAATTCCCAGAATATAGGAAACTGGAAAGATACTATGCAATTTCCCATAATTTCGGAATTTTATAATAGTGAAATTGAATTGAAAGTTTCGAATGGAAAAGGAATATGAGATCGTAGAGGTTGTTTAATTTTGCGTGTTTTTAATGTGGTGCAGAGGAGATATGGTTGCAGAGCAATGATGTTAGAAACAGTGGCGGCGGTGCCTGGAATGGTGGGAGGTATGTTGTTGCACTGCAAGTCATTGAGGCGATTCGAACAGAGTGGTGGATGGATCAAAGCTCTGCTTGAAGAAGCCGAAAACGAGAGGATGCATTTGATGACTTTCATGGAAGTTGCAAAGCCAAATGTGTACGAACGTGCCCTGGTTTTCGCAGTGCAAGGTGTCTTCTTCAACGCTTACTTTGCTGCTTACCTTATTTCCCCAAAATTGGCTCATCGTATCGTGGGATATTTGGAAGAAGAAGCTGTTCATTCGTACACTGAGTTCCTCAAGGAATTGGACAATGGTAACATTGAGAACGTACCTGCTCCTGCTATTGCTATTGATTACTGGCGTTTGCCTAAGGATGCCACTCTCCGCGATGTTGTCTTGGTTGTTAGGGCTGATGAGGCTCATCATCGCGATGTCAACCACTATGCATCTGTAAGAACACATAAAGCTGATGATCTCGACTTATTTGGGATTGATGGATGCATTTAACTAATTTATTTGATTTTGATTGTAGGACATTCATTACCAAGGACAACAGCTGAAGGACTCACCAGCACCACTTGGGTATCACTAAGCGACTAATAATAAATACAAAGAGATCAGACATATCAAGCTAAAAGTTCGTCACTATTTTGTTCCTTTTTTGAACTGGTGATATAGCTATGTAGTAGGTAATACTAATCTTGAATGTTGATGTACATATTTTTGTGTGGATTTGGTTCGTTCTTTGCTGCCTCTTCATCAATAAGTGGTAGGGTACGATGAGCTCTGTATCATTGTGGAGCATATATATTCTTGATGAAATTATATCATCGTTTTGTTTACTTTTGTCACACTTTTGATATGAATTAATCAAGATCAAAATTAGGACATAATAACAAGTAAAGATAATCGCGGTTGTGGGAGATTGAGGTCAATAAGTTTGAGTTTCCCCTTCTGAAATTCGTGAAACTCCATTGGCGTTGTTTGTAGAACTTTAACAGTGGCTGGCAGAAGAAGCTCCAACTTTGGAATCTTCTTTATGGGTACGAATGAATGTGATTGAGTAAAGTAAGCAATACAGGCTCAATTTTGAAGGTTGTGAATAGGAGGCTGCTTCGTCTTCCTTTCTGAAGCTTGATGAAAGAAGTCGAGAAAAAATGAAGGGAGCATCACAAGTTTTCCTAATCAGAACCTGGAAAGTATTCTTGCATCAGTTTTCGATGAATTGTTTGTTAAGAGACATAATAGAAGAGCAAAGAGACGAGCTATGAATACTTGTGGGAATACACGGGATATGTTGGCAATTACTACTTTCAGGAGGTTTATAGATCCAGTTATCGGATTGGGAGAAGAGATCAATGGTAGGAATCAGCAACAACAACTTGTTGTTTGTGAAGGTGCATGAGTGGTTTATGGGAATTTAACACCACAAGATTTGCAGTTGAAAGAAGAAATGGAAGCAGACATACTACAACAATGCTTGAATTGTTAAGAGTTATTCATGATCTTCCTCCTCTCTATTGAGGAAATTACACGTTGAAACGACAGATTTTTGTTTCTCCATTGATTGGGATGAGGAAATCGTGACTTACTACAAAATGCTTGAATTATTTGAGATCATTGATGATGTTGAACTAATAAATCCTCCTTTCTCAAGGGGAATAATAATAATTGCGGTATCTCATCAAGAATCAACAGTTTTTTTGTTCTCGATTGATTGAGTGGGATGAGGATTTCAACAACATAAAACAGCCATTGCTACCAAAACTCTCATCTGATTACCGTCCCATTCTATTACAGTGTGGGGATCAACTAGAACATACCAAGTCATATTTTAAGTTTGAGAATTGGTGGCTTGAGGCAGCCTTCACCTCTAACCTACACCATTGAGGGATACACAAAAAAAGATTTGATTATGGATACAACGGTAATATCTAATGAATATGCGACTGAAAGGATATGTATCAGGGATTCGTTGCAAACTAGACATAGAAAAAACTTATGATCACGTGAATTGAGTTTTTCTTATCAGGGATATGAACTTTGGTAGTAAATGGATAAACTCAAATTACAATATGTATTTGGTGGATTATATGGAAAGAGAGAACCACAAAATGCTTTGAAGATCATTTTATGAGAAGAGCCAATATTAGGTATGATTTGTTTTTTTTAGCAAAAATTAGATTAAATATTATGAACAGTACTATTCAATATTCATTGACCAATTTTTCCATGAAGCAAGGGAAATGCAAGTTCACAGCTACTTAGCTTTCTGGTCAAGAGATTAAACACACACACCATCATCAACAACAACAAAACAAATAAAAACAGAAAAAATTCAATGATGGGACGACCCGAATTCAAAGAAATCACCAACATGAACACAATAGTGACCCACATGAATGGAGTAACGACTGCCCCGCTGTCTGATTACACTTCCCCTTCATTCCTTCATCTCCAAAGACTAAGAAAACAATGTACATACCTCATTGATCAACAACTATGGGAAGACCTTAGAGCAATATTTGTGTTTCTCACTAAGAAAACAATGTACAACTCTTTTGGCAGACCCC